GCAACATCGATGAGAGTGCTGCCTTTTGACCCCAGGTCTCACCCAGAAGCCCCCGACTAGTACTCTTCTCTGCCAGCCTCCGGCTCTCCTCTAGCAACTGGACCACTTCTCCCACCTTGTGATGCCTGCTCTTTAGCATGTATCCGCCAGCAGCTCCCAGTGCCAGGGCTGCAGCCCAGGGTCTCCCCGCCTGTACATAAGCCTGGCCTGCTTCCCGAAGGCAGTGGGCTGCTTGCCCTGGATGCCCCAGGGCCTGGTAGCAGGCTGCCATCTTCTCCTGGATCCCCCGTTGGTCTCCCTGGGGCTGATAGTGGCCCAAGGCCTTGTGGTACCATGCCAAGGCTTGAGGCAAATCACCCAAGGCATGGTAGGCCAAGGCCACATTGAAGCACTGGTCACCATGGCAAGCGCCACTGGCTTTTTCCTCCGGCTTGGCCCAGAGGAATAGCCTGAGACCACGTGCCGGGTCCCCAGTCTCCACATAGGCTGCTCCAAGGTTGAAGGCACAGGCCCGAAGGACCCTGGTGTCCCTGCCTCTCTGGGCCTCCAAGGCCAGAAGAAAGGCTCGATGAAAACTAGCCAAAACCTCATCATTTCTGCCATCCCTCAAGGCCCCATGCCCAGCTTGGGTGAGAGTCTGGATACTGGCTTCCAGGTGTTTCTTCTTTTTCTTCATCTTCTTGGCGGGCCACACCTCAGTCCCTGGCCCCAGGGAACTGTTCTCAGACGCAGGAGAAGACATAGAACTGAAAAGACAAAGGAGTTGGTTAAACAACCACAGTTACTTTCAAAGAAGGATCTCTTGAGCTCAGTTCTGTCCCTGGCCAGTTGTGACCCTCCCATGGTCTAAATTGACCTCCCCAACTGCAGTGGCAATTTGTCTCTCATTGTTTGTCTGGTAGGGAGAGCCCAGAGAGTAGTGGTATAAAGGGTGGAAAGAATAGTGGTCTTGGAGCCAGAAGTCCTGGCTTCAAAATTAATTAGTTCAGTGCCAGGGTGAGGCATTTACTTAACCTCTTAAAGTCTTTTTTCCCCCCACCTAAAAACGGCTTGCTTTGAATAAAGGTCTTTGTCAACTTCAAAACATTATAGAAGTTTGAACTTTTGTTATTATTAGATGATAGAACCTAAAGCTAGAAGAAACTTTAGGCAGCTAGGTGGCCCAGTGCTCTAACCACTGGGCCAGGAGTCAGGAAGAACTGAGTTCAAATCTGGGCTTAGACACTTACTAGATGTGTGACCCTGAGCAAGTCACTGGAGTGCTGTTTGCCTCAGTTTCCCCAACTGTAATGGGGATGATAACAGTACTTATTTCCTAGGGTTGTTGTGATATATGAGATAATGCTTGTGAAGTATTTAATACAGTTCCTGGCACATTTTAAGTGCCATATAAATATTTATTCCCTTCCCTTCCTCCTGCCCCTGAGTAATCTAGGCTAATCTCCCTGATGGACCTTCTCCCCCATAATTAACCTCAGTTTCTTACTCTCTAGTCATTCCTCCCCACCTAGGTACCATCTGTTGTCTAATCATTATCTCTCTTGCTGCAGTATCAGCTAAAAGATGGAGACCAATGATACTAAAGCCCCCCTTTCTTTAAGGAGAATGTCCCTTCACAGCCCCAGAGGCTGCTTCTCCTTCTCCTTTCTCTTTGTCTTCTCAAAACTTCTCAGTCTCTGTCCTTAGCTCTGTCCTGGCCTACAGAATGGTAGAGGGGGGAGGAACCTTAAAGATGACCTTGTCCAATCCCCTCAATTTATAGATGGGAAAAATGAGACACGCAGAAGTTAAGTAAATTTCCCAAGGTTACCCAGGAACAAAGAGCTGAACGTGCCTTACCATCCCAGCCCCCTTGGACCTTATCCAATAACCTTAGGGTCACATTGACCATGCCTCTGCTTCCGTAAAGAATTCCCCCATTACACTGTTGGGCTTCAAACCCAGATCCTCTGATTCTTTCCACTCTACTTTATCTCACTGCCTCCTGCTCACACTACTTTCAGCTTCCCTTATATCCTGGAACCCAAGTATTGTTCAGTCATTTTTCAGTCGAGTCCTACTCTTCTTGACCCCTTTAGTAGCTTGCCATTGCCTTCTCCAGCTCATTTTACAGATAAGGAAATTGAGGCAACCAGGGTTAAGTGACTTGCCCAGGGTCACACAGCTAGGAAGTGTCTGAGGCCAGATTTGAACTCACAAAGACGAGTCTTCCTGACTCCATGCGTCCGCTGTGCCACCTAGCTGCCCAAGTTTACCTAAGAACCCAAGTATAGAATACATCAAAATCATATATTTCCTCAGCACCTTTCTGAGGATCTCAAAGCTATTTATTTCCCCCTGCCTACATGCAAAAGATGAAAAATGAAGTAGAGAGAACTCAGTCACACAATTGTGACACAATTGTGCCCTTCCCATTTCCCTTTCCTCATGAGAAAGATTTGAAGAGGGTATTTCTATTCTCACACACACACACACACACACACACACACACACACGCACAGCTTCTGGCCTCTGTGATGGGTGGGCTTGGGAACATGGTCATCTTGCCTCCTGGTTCACTTGACTGCACTGCCCCCATCCCTGGGTCACCCCTTATCCCCTACACACAGCAGGTACCTCCCTACCTCTTACTGCATCTGCCTTAGTGCTGCTGTCTCTCTGGAATGGCTCTGCAGACTTGGGTTACCTCAGCTCAGAGCCTCGGGGGTCACTGTGACAACCTAGTAACACCCTCCCCTCCTAAGGGATTCTTTGATTGACAGCTCAGGTGTCCTATCTGAGTTCTGATCCGTTGAGGTGGAGCTTTTTTCAAAGTCATGGGATACCTGGATTCTCATTAAAATTGTAGTTCCTCCCTCCTTATCTTCCAGTCTTACATTGATTCTATTGTCTTTTCTCCTAGCCTCAGTTTCTTTCTAATGGACAGAGCAGTTTAGAGTTTCCTGGTGGGGCCATTAGGTAGAAAGTGCTTTGTAATGGGTAAAGGAACCCTACATAAACGGATATTAATGGTCACAGCTGAATACTTCAGGGACTTGTGACTTTGTGCGTGTGGGTGATCCCTCCAACTGAAGCCCACTGGCCTAACTCCTCCTCTACTTAGGAGATGGTCTTAGAGAATTGCTGTGGCTGAAAAAAAATTATTTAAAAATGTTATGAATGCCCTTTTGCTTTTACTTCAGTCATTCCTGGAATTGCTCCCACCCCCAAAGTAAACCTTCCCTAGTAAAGGAAAAGTTTAGTAAAAGCTAGGAATCCAGGACAAAGTGAAACTACTGAGTTCCACACCCATCATTATTATGCTATTGAAAAGGACCAGACCTGTCGCCCTGAGGCTCTATTCACTATACTCCATCTTCCTAGAATGGAAATTTCCTTCCCTGGCCTCCACTCCCAGAAGCTGATAGTAGAATGTAAACTACACAGTGTCTGGCATATAGGGATAAGTATAGCCTCTGGACCTGGGCTTTCACTGACATAGACAACTCCTTCTACAAATGAAATTCTGTACTTTCTTTGTCATTCATAGCTCTTAGCAAGTTGCCTTACCAGAAAAGTTCCAGTCACAGCCGGAAATATGTCAGTGGTGGGACTTAAACTCAGGTCTTCCTGACTGGAGGAGGGCTCTCTACCTATTCATCACACCATTCCTCTATCATTGATTGATAGTCCCCTAAATTTCCGATGAAAAGAGGGTGGTGCATTTCTTCATCACTGGGGTTAAGACTAAGCATGCTAATTACTTCATTTTATTAGTCTTTTTGACTTACATTATTGTAGTTATTGTGTATATAGTCTTTCTGGTTCTCCTGACTTCACTCTGTATCCCTTCATACTAGTCATAGGTTTAGAGATGTAAAGGCCCTTTGGGGTTATCTAGTTTAAACTCTTCACTTAACAGTTGAGGAAACTAAGGTTTGAAAAGTGATTTGTCCAACACCTGAGGAGTATTTGAGGTTTAGAAGTTTAGGGGTGCTGGGACTGCAAAATCATGACACAAGGCTCCTGCTCAAATGAATTTGACCCAAGCCTTCTTTCAGCCAAAGACAAGCTTTATTAGAACATCGAACCGGGTGGGTAGGATTTAAAGAATCCACCATATTGGCCAGACTCAAGGAATCTAAACAAGCGGGCCAGATCTTAAGAATCTGAACCCTTAATGGAGCCCAGATGGACCTTATAAAAATAGAATGACTGGGGGGGGGTGAGGGGGAGGGTCTAGGAGGATGGCAGTGGGCAGTAAACTGGGATGACTGAGGTAACACAAGGCCAAGGGAGAATGGAGCCTAAATAGGATTAGGGTCCCCACCCTTAATGGCCAGGGGCCATAGGGAGGTAAAACAATGGAGGTCTAGGTTAGGTTAAGGATAACAGAATTGGGAGATAGGGCATAGGCAATAATGAAAGGCCAGTTGATAGGATTAGAGCCTCAGGTGAATGCCAGAGATATGGCCATGTGGGAAAGTCCAGAGCTTTTCCTTTTTGGGGTCCAGATCCTAAAGACGTGGTCTTTTTCTTTTAGGGATTCAGAGCCCATCCCCATCAGACAGACCCAAACTGGTGACTCCTTTCTCTAAAATCAGCTAGGTCCTAAAGCAGTAGACACTTGGGGATGGGGGTTGAGGCAGAAGTCAGGATGCTATGGTGAAAAGTGGAATTGTAGTGATGTAGAAGGGAAGCAAGCAGCTGGGAGTACCGTGTGAGGGCTGAGGTTACATTAAAGGGAGAAGGCCTGGGGAGGCAAAAGCAAGGAGGTGCAAGGGCTGGAAACAATGAGAGGAAGGCAATGGCAAGGGGTACGAGGAGGAAGGGAAGGGAAAGTGGCTAGAAAGAGAACCGTGGTCTCCAGTGACATATTTCGCACGTGCCTCTTCTCTGGGCCGGAGAGGTCTGTATGACTGGGAACTACAAATCCCAGCAGGCCCCGCGGCGCGAACCGGAAGTGTCCTGGCCGGACTGTTGCAGCTTGCGAGGGGCGGTGGCGGCGGGAGATTCAAACCTGGGAGTAGAAGCAGAAGCAGGAGCTGTAGTTGGAGCCGGAGCAAGAGGGCCAGGAGGATGGAGGGGAGAGGAGCAAGGCCCGGCGGGGCGGCCTGTGAGTGACGGACCGAGGGTTAGGGTCAAGAAGGGACGGGGCTGGGGCCAAAGACGGGCAGAGGCGCTGGGGCTGGGGTCTCGAGCCGTGGGGTTGGCAGCACGGGAGAAGTCAACAAGGGTTTATTAAACTCCTACTGCATGTGAGGCACTGCGGTAAGCACTCTTGTGCAATGCTAAGAGCGCCCGGAGACCTGGGTTCGAGCCCTGTGGGTTAGAGTCTCCGATTCTGCTGTTTACCGGCTGGGTGGCTGCGTGGCTTCGGGCAGGTCACTAACCCAGGGGGCCTTAGCTTCCTCATCTGTAAAGTAGGGCTAGAGGAAAACAGCAGGGCTTAGTCTGAAGGGATGTCGGAGCCTCCGGATATTTGTCTACTTCCTAGCTGGGCCAGGTGTTAAGTACTAGGGCATACTTTAGGGCAGAGTGGGGTCGGAGGTTCTCAAATCGAACCAATCAATTCAAATTAGACAAAAACTTATGTGGTTATGCAGAAAATTGTATTAAATGCTGGGGGTGGGGAATAACATTTAGTGCTTTAAAGTTTATAAAATGTACAACAAGGCTGTGAGACAGGCATTTTACAGATGAGGAAACTGAGGTTTGGGGATGTTAATTACCGAGAGTCACAGTTGTGCCAGACCTGAGAGATGACTGAATCCAGATCTCTGAACTCTTAACTTAGAGATCTTCATAGTTCCCTGTCTCCTGAGAATTCTGGGGTTTCAGTCCAGCCTTCTGGGTGGAAAGAAAACCCCTCCCCTTGTGTCCCTCTCTTCCTTCAAACCAATGTGAGTTTATCTTGGGGAGCTCCATAAAGTCAAGTCCAGGTATTTGTAGAAGGAAGGGAAGTTTAAGCTTGTGAGGGTGGGCTTTAGACCTTAGGAAGTCTGGCAGAAAGAGTGCCATTTGTACACATACCCACACCCACAGAGTCCTGCCCAGTTTTTTCAATTCATACCTCTGGAGTGAAGTCATTCACCAGCTTACTTTCCAGGCTTAACTGCCAACCCTTTTCCTTTTTGCTCCTCCCTTAGAATAACTGATGGATTTCTTGCCATTGGCCTGCCATTTGGAATATGGTCCTGAGAGTGTATTTTTTAAAACCTCACTTGACTGCCAATTCAAATTGAATTCCTCGAAGAGAATTCTGACAGTCAGCTAAAAATAATTAACCATAGAAATTAAGTGCTGAGTCAAAAATAAATTGACTGAACTCTATGTCTACTTTTAATTCACTCTTAAGTTCACTTTTCTTTGGAATCTTTTGGGTGGGAGCCTGGGGGTACAGCATTAAATGTCATTGTGTCTGCTAAAGTAGATACTTCTTCAGAATAGTGGCATGGGGATCAGGAGAACGGTGGGTTGGGATTCAAAGGGGCATTGAGAAATATGGTTGTTGACAGTGAAGATTTGGTGAGTGGTTTTCTGTTGGATTTTTATTTTTTGAAGATTGCTTGGATCTTGAATTTGTAACATTTTAGAATCTTAGAGTTCAAATATAATACACTCCCTGTGCCAAATAAAATGCGTTCCTACCTCATCTCTATCAAAATCTTTCTCTTCTGTCTGTGCTCAGCTTGGGTGCTCCCCTCCTCCACGAAGCCCTCCCCTGAACCCCTCCAGTTGACAGGGTTGTCTCCTGAAGTTTTCTCCACAGTTTCTGGAGGGATATTCCTAAATGACAGGTCTGACCCTGTTCCTACCCTCCATAATCAACTCCGGTGTCTCCCTTTTACCTCTAAGATCAAATACAAACTTCTGTGTTTGGCATTTGAAGCCACACACGTTCACACCCTGGCTCCGTACGTCATTCCCCTTCACATACTCTTTAGTCCAGGTAAACTGGCCATGCATGTTCCCCCATCTTCTTTCTTTGTGACTTTTCACGGGCTGTCCCCTAATGGATCTAGTGCTCTCCTTCCTCACCTCTGACTCTTAGGATCCTTTGTTTCTTTCAAAATCTCAGCCAAATACCACCTACATGAAACCTTTCCTGATTTCCCCAGAAAAGTTACCTTGTATTTCTTTGTATATAATTTAGTGTACATATATGAATAAGTTGTCTCCTTCCTATAGGATATAAACTCCTTGAAGACAGAAGCTTTTTTGTCTTTCTATCTCTATCACAATGCCTAGCACATAGAAGACGCCTAATAAATGTGGGGTTTTTTTTAATCTTTATATCTCCAGTGCCAATGATCATTGCACCCTGAAGATATAAGGCATTTGATTAATGGTTTTTTAATTGCATTGAAAAGTAACCTTAGAAGGCATTTAATCTAATTCTAGCAGATACATACCCAACAGGTAGTCATCTACCTTCAGCAAAAGCAAATATCATTTACCTCCTTGATCTGACCTTCAAAGAAAGAGCCAGAAGTAGACTCTTGGGGAGCTCTTAGTTAAATAGGAAACTGGATAAAGATGGAGCTAAGGATTCAGGTGACCAGAACTCCAGACATCCCTCCTGGAGGGTGGCAGAGGAATAGGAAGAGAGTAACAGGTGGGAAGGAAGAGTCTGAGAAGGTTTCCTAAAGGAGGAAACTGTGGAAAAAGTAAAGAAGGAAACAATCATAATTGGGAGAGTGAGAGAAGGACAAAGGGGAATGGCCTCTCTGAAGTCTCAAGGAGGTAGAGAACATTGGGCCTGGATAAAGTATTTTTTCCCATCTGAACAAGGAATGCAAGCTAAGAGGACTCTAGTCTAAGGAACTGGGACTGGGTGGGTGAGTGTCAGATGGTAACTATTTCAGATTTTCAGGCAGGGGAGGGATTGCATTTGAGGAAGATGGTGAAGGATAGGAATCAGGCATCCTAGCACCCTTTTGATCTGCTGCTAACCGTGTCATGCCTCCCCCCTTCCAGATGAACGCCTCACTGCAGAGGAGATGGATGAACAGAGGCGGCAGAATGTTGCCTATCAATATCTCTGCCGCCTGGAAGAGGCCAAACGGTGAGTAGAGGTAGGCAGGAGGAGGCTAAGGGATGAGGGGAGGTAGGTAGGAAGAGGCCATGGAATGAGGGGAGGTGGGTAGGGGGATGTAAGGGATGAGGGGAAGTGGGTAGGGGGATGTAAGGGATGAGGGGAGGTGGGTAAAGGGATGTAAGGGATATGGGGAGGTGGGTAGAGGGAGGCCAAGGGATGAGGGGAGGTAGGTAGAGGGAGGTCAAGGGATGAGGGGAGGTAAGCAGGAAGAGGCCATGGAATGAGGGGAGGTGGGTGGGTAGGGGG